ATAAATGAATAAATTAACTGGACTTGAAGGAAGAGAGGGGGAACACTGTGAGGATACTGAGAGCAGTCCAAACAGAGAGAAGCAGTGCAGAGGCCTGAGGCGGGAGTTTGTGTGACTTGTGAGAAGATCACCAAGGAGGCTAGTGTGGCTGGAGGAAAACAAGAGTGAAGAAAGGAGGGACGGGAGGGAGGGACTGGGTGTGGGGTTCATCTATTTAAATGTGGTGCTGGGAATCAAGCCTAGGGCTTTGCACATGGTAGCAAGTGCTGTCCCACTGAGCTGCATCCCCAGACTCAGATTTCATGAGCTCTTGTAAACCACAGTGAGACTTCTGAGTGCCCGTGTTTGCCTCGCCACAGCCGATGGCCTTGGTACTTTGCAAACATCAACTGATCACAGTTCTTCCAACACCTAACGAGGGCCACATCATGGTACTCCACTGAGAAGATGGAAAGGATTGTGGGGGAGAGAGAGAGGGCTTGCAGCCTCAAGAGGCTGGTAGTTAGCTTGATGGGCGCTGTGACTGACTGCCGGTGAGTCTCGTTCGTTTGCTGTGCCATCTGAAGGTATTCGTGCACCTCTCTTGCTGTAGGCACGGGACTCTGTGATGAGACCAAGGGTGATAATTACAGAAGCTCGAAACCCAGGATCTCCTAGAGAGACTCGGGCTTCTGTCAGTCGTGGCGTCCAGCGTTCACTGCACTGACAGACGCCAGTTACCTTTGTGCCACCTAAAGGCATGCAAGGAGGCTTGTTTTGCTCCAAGATAGCTTGATTTTAGCAGACTTCTCATCTATTGCTTTAGGAAGCAATCTTACGATGTATTCTAATATTTAAAAAATCAAAACTGTATTTTAATTCTTAGCTTTTAAAATATGAAACAGGAAGAACCCGATAAAGGGAAAGTTCTGAGAAGTCCTGGAAGTGCAGGCGCTGCCGTTTGGATGTTAAACACACCCTAAAGTCCCAGGGGTGGGAGGTGTGACCCAGCGCTAGAGCGTCAGGAGCGTGCGGAGCCCTTAGGAGACAGGTCCCAGCGGGAGGTCTTCAGGCCACGGGAGCACGCTGGCGAAGGGACAGCGGGATGTTGGGCTCCTCCCCTTCCTTTGCTTTCCTGCCCCGAAGGGAGCAGTTCTGCCCGGATACACACTTCTGGTGTGAGGTCCTGCCTCACCACAGGCCCAAAGCAACAGGGCCAATCAGCTACGGTGGGGACTTCTAACATTGTGCACCAAAATAAACATTTTCTATGGATAAGTTACCCCAGAAATTTGTTCCGGAGATGGAAAGCCAACCACAGTGATTCTTCCTGCTCTACCAACTTATTCCATGAGGTTCTCTGGTGATCACAAAATATGTTTCTTATTCTGGCCTCAGATGAGAACATGCCATTTCAAGAAGTCAGCCCTGCACAAGCGTCACACTCCCACTCCGAGTTCACAGGACAGCACAAGCAGACGAGCACTCGAGAGCTGGCTTCGTTTCTCCACTTCTAGCTGCGACCCGGTGGTTGGTAGAGGCTTCCACACTTAGGAGGGGGATGCGTACTTCCGGAGCCCACGCTGCCTTCAGAAAACCACCAGACGTGCTGAGATCAATACAGGTGAGTCTGTTCCGCTCATGAGGACTCCGTGATGAGATCAGGGTGATAAGGAGTTTAGACCCCGGGACAACACTTCAGGTCCTTGGTGACGGCAGGGCAGCAGCACACATCGGGCCGGGGCATCAGTCGCACCTGCCAGGCTGGGGGCGCAGCACTGACTAGGAAGAATTCCTGGCATTTGAAGCGGGAGTGAGGCCAAAAGAAAAAGCACTTACAAAGCAGATAATTTAAAAAATATCTTATCAAATATGCACTTTTCAATTACTGCTCTTTCCGTCTCGGATTCCACTCTTACTGCCCTGGTAGAGCGTTGGCAGAGCTCGGCTGCGCTCCCTTCTGGGGCGGGTGACCGTCCCGGGGTAGAGGCAGTCCCCTTTGTCTGACCAGGTCCGCAGTGGGCGGAGGAATGACCTGTGGACAGCCGCGGGGCGTCTGCAGCTGACCGGAGCGGGGTGAGGGACCACGTGGCACTGGCTCAGCGGACGGCGTGGGCTGTGCTTGGCCCATTTCTGGTGCTGAAACCCTGGGACCCAGCTTCAAGGCGGCCTTGTTCTCTGGGCAGGAAGAAACCGCCCAGTAAGTTTGCCCAATCACATTTGGCTTCTTTCTCAGCAAAGGACTTCTCAACACGAGCAAGGACGTCGTCTAGCGTCGGGTCTCTCTCAGCCCGTGCCTTCTCCTGTGAGAACCCCAGGATTTCTCCCCTGGATGGGGCCCGAGAGTGACAGGCTGACTTTCCTAAGAAGTCGCCCGAGCCACCATGAAGAGCGCCAGAGAAACGAGTCAGTGTTCGGAGCGGCGGCTGTTCCATCCTCCACTCTGTCTCCTAAGGACATTTAAAGTATGTTCAGGTCAAAGTACAGCTCTACGGTTCTAAATAGAATACGATTCTCAGTCTATCAGAATCATTCACATGATGTAAGTTTCATTCCTTACCCATTTTATTCCACTTTTAGTAAAACATTTGAAATAGTTCTAGTGTGACAGAAAGTAAAATATACACATACATTCCACCTCCCCTCTGTGGAGATAAGTGCTACCAACAAATTCATATTTATCCTTCTAGAAAAAAAGAAAAATATATAAGCAAGTGTACATACATCTTCAGCCTGGCAAGGTGACACATATCTCTAATCCTAGCACTTAGGAGGCTGAGGCAGGAGGATCTCCATGAGTTCAAGGACAGCCTGGGGTACATAAAAGTTCAAGCCCATCCTGAACTACATAGTGAGACCCTGTCTTAAAATAATGTGTATATATATATATACATATTCCATCTTTATATGACTAGGAACATCTTATCTTCACATGTCTGTCTTTATCTTTTTCATTTTAT